CCATGATTCTTCGGCTAGGAAGCCTTTTCTTTTGATATGATTTTTTTCGCTATTTTATTGAATTTTTTTTAAAATATCACCGATCTCGTCAATATTTTTTTCTTTTTTCTCTAGCCTTTCATGTTCTTCATGGAGACTCCCTATGTTGTCCGTATCAGTTGGTGTTTTTGTTTTAAATTGTCTCTTTTGTAATATTGAAGGTGGCCCTCTCCATTATTTCTTATGCTCTCAGTTTCCCATGTTTATATTTTTTCTCTGGTTTGAAGGTTTGGATGAGATATGTTTTCTTTTTGACTAGGGAGATAGACATACAAAGGGTTTTCCGATCTGGTGCACTCCATCCGCAGCCTAGAGTGAGCATTTTTCTATTGGTTTATTTCTATCATTTCTTAGAATAATATACTTTATACATTTGCTTTGCGTCCCTGGATAGGAAAATTAGTTTTGTGCGTACCTCTAGATATTGCAATCAAGATGGAGATACTGCTGTTTAGTGTTTGAAAACTAAATTGGTTAGAAAGGAGGGCTTTAACTCTTTGATGGATGCCTCTAGGCCCTCTACTACTGCTTTGCAAAGATAAGGAGTATTTAAAAAAAATCTCATCTGTTTAAATATGTGGAAGGGAATCAAAATGAATAATGAGAACTACTGTCAAACACTTCTCGTAGGAGCAAAATGAGATAAGCACATTATTGAGGACAGACTTTCAGAGAAAATGAAGAGTACTAAGGGTGTGCTGAGGCAGTTCGCCGAAATGATTTTTTAATATCCTATTTCTTTTATTCCAATTGTTACCCTATAAATGGCCACTGCTCCAATGTACAAAGTTTCCTAGAGATTGATCAGCTCTTGGTTCTCTCGAAAGGTGATTATATACATTATATCTCATCTCTAAGGGTTAAAGGAAGAACAAGTTTTTAAAACTAACAGCAGCAAACCGCAAGTATGAATATGCTAAGTACTTAATGCTTAAACTAAGGGTAAATTACACTATACCCCATGAACTTCAGTATTTTGCAGTGAACCCCCATAAACTTTCAAAATCACACTAAATCCCGAGTAACTTTTTAGAATTGCAGAAAACCCGCATGAACTCTCTGAGTTTTATAGATAACCCTCATAAATTTGAACCAAAAACAACATAAAAAGGCATTTTGAAAGTTCATGGGGATTTAGTGTAATTTACCTAAAAGTTCATGGGGGTGTTCTGCAAAAAAAATTTCCCTGTGTGTGTGTGTGTGTGTGTGTTTTTGTTTTTTTGTTTTTTGTTTTGTTTTTTTTTGTTTTTTTTTTTTTTTGGGGGGGGGGGGGTTGTGGGGGGGGGGGTTTAGTGTGATTTTGAAAGTTCATGGATGTTTACTACAAAAAACTGAAAGCCCATGGGGGTTTAGTGTAATTTACCCTTAAAATAACTCATCAACAATCCACTTGTTGTGAGATTATTTTAAAACTGGATCACAAACCAGCCCTTTTTGAAAGAAAGATCTAAAAAAAATCTAGATTGAGAAACCAGTATTTAATAGAAGTAGATGAAAAATAAAAATTTACATTTGTTATTTTGTTAAACTAGCTAAAATTATCACAGTCTAGTTCTGAACACTAGGTTTAGGTCCTTGTGAATACACAACCTTGTTGACTCAACTGAGCTTTTATACTTTTGTATAGTATACTGATAAGGACATATATTTGTTTTCCTTTATATTTTTATTTACCCTGTTCTTTGTTCGGTCTGTTTCTCTGTGTCTTATAATGTGTGTTAATTTTGATACAGACTAGGTATGATATTGTAAATTGATCTTTGAACTAATGTTGCATGTCAGATCTTATGCCTGCATGGGTCTCCAGATGGACCAGAGCAGTATGTTATTAGCATTTTTTTCCGATCAGATATGCAATTTTATGTGTTTCAGCACTAACAAGGAGATTTGGCAGATATGTTGCAGTAATGAATGCAATATTCTCAGCTCAGCGTTCCATGGTACTCTTTGCTCATGTTTTGTCATCAATTTTGAAGACACAAGCCCAATTAAGTTTACTATTTATTGATATTTCTATCATCCTTGCAGTATAAGATTTATTGATGAAATATCATTTCTTTTATGGAAGCACTTATCATGCCGTTATTATAAGGGTTTTTAGGAATGGGTAACTAACATATGTCATGTCGTTGCACTAACATCAATAATAAATTGCAACAACAACAAAAAACACGGCAACAAAGTAGCAGCAATGATAACAATTTGAAACATTTACCCCTTTATGTTTGCATTTTTATTTCTTTTACCCTGCTGGACTTCATTTCACGCTTCAAGAATATCAAGTGCATGTATCCTGATTATGCTTCAAGAATATAAAAGAGCATGATGAAAAAAATTATCAGTATTATTACACAGACTGTATTGGGACATAAATGTTGTTATTAGCACCACCAGTTTCATGACTCAATTGTACTTTCATGAAACTGACAATAGTTAAAGAATATAGTTGTATTCTAAGGGCAAAATGTTAATGGTTAGCTTTTCTTATCTGCTTATTTCCCCTAACTGGGTCACAACTTTGAGGACAACATTATAGCTGTATTTTTCTGCCACCTCATTGTATTTTGTTCTGTTTAGTATCATTACATTTAATTAAATCATATTTTCAAAATTTATGATTTGTATACTGTGATTGAAATTTTATTAAATCTCTCTTGTACATTAGTGAGAACTTAGCATACACTAATCTAATTCAGTGAAAACTCTATGAATCTGTCAGGTTCCTATAGATTCCTGCGTTGTAGGGGCACAACATTCAGCCTTTTTGCAACAGGTGATGCTTATACAATTTAAGGATGAATATGATTCAATTCTTCTTTAACAAGCCAAGAAAGAAAATAAGCAAGGAATATGGGAATTTTATTTGCAGGCATCATACATTACTGGTGGAATTTATCTGAAGCCCCCACAACTTGATGGTCTATATCAATATCTCGTGGTTAGTTTCTTGTCCTGTTATTTCACAGTTAAAATTATTCTGTAGTCTTCAAAAAGCCAAAATATTTCATGACAAAGGAAGATCCTGCAGAGAAGGATTTAGTGCACATTTAAGAGGGAAGTGTGCAAGTTGGCTATGTTCATGTTATTATTGGGTTTCAACAAAGAGTAAAATTAGCTTAACAACATTAGCACTTTTGCAAGACAAAATAAATTCTGAAATGCACTTGTAGAGAAGATGGTTTTCAATTCAGGAACCAGTGACCCTGAATCATGATCATCATAATGGAATAGTAGAGAAAAGCTGATGACTGTATCAGGATTGTAAATTTTTTCCATCTATTTATAATGCTAACCTGCAAACTAGTTATTGGCACTCCCAAATTGTCTTTAGTTTGCTGTGCAAACTTATGCCTCTAATCCTAGTTATCTGTGATGTTCTCTTATTAATGAGTGAATTGAATTGTATTAGTGGATGTGAAATAGGGAGATTGAAATTATGTACCTTCAAGGTTATATTACGATATGCAGTTATCTCATTTTATAATTAGAAATAACCTTCTAAAATTTGGTTCTTCATGTATTCGTGCTGTAATTAGTGTAATATAATTCTTAAGTTAAACTATTTTTAACTATATCATATTTTTGATGGTGTATAATTCACATTTGTGCAGACAGTCTATGCAACGGATTTACAATCACGGAGCTTTCTGCATCTTCCTAAGCCTGTAGGAGTTGACTTCCGTGCCTCGTATGTGCTTCTCTCTGGATTATTCTCATTTTACTGCACTATCTTCCCTTAATTATAACTTTTCCTGTTGATCCCTCAGGTTCATATTTCAGTTTTTTTAGAGTTTATTGCTGTAGGCATATAAAATTGCTTATAGGTCCCCTAGCATAGCTCGGCACAAACCGACGAACCAACGAGACAACGGAAAACGACTCGAAAAAGTCGGAAAACACCGCCCGCGGGGGCTCGGCCAAAGCCGAGCCAACTCAAGGTGGCTCCCTAGAGATGTTCATTTTCAGGGGTCGAACTTTCAAGAGCCGAAACTCTGCCGGATTGAAGAGTGAACTCGGAGCTTGAAGACCAGAAGACTTGCACCATTCAGATCTGATCCTCGGCGACCATCCACGTCAGAAAAGGCAGGATCTCGAGAGGAAGAAAGAACAGATCTGAGATCTACACGAGACTACACTCCAGATCTAAGCTTGGTCTTAGATCTCGAGATCTGAGCGATTATTCCCTTGGTGGATTAATCCCTCCCGGCTATTATTCCCTTCGTGGAATAATACCCGCATACTCGTGTAGATCCGACCGGATCTAGATCGCGCGGTGGTCCACGGATTAACCCCGGCGCAGGCAAAGAACCCACCAAAGCGAGCGACCGCAAAACAGGAGCTCGTGATTTGTTCACAGAGGAGAGTTGTAATTTTTCTTTATTTTCTTTGATTTAGTTGTAACCGGATCTATAAAAGACCGGATCTTTGTAACCCAAGATGACAATCATATCAATGAAAAAGAAAACAGTTTTCCACGCGAACAATCTGGCGACCACAGTGGGAGCCGACGATCTCGCCAACGAGATCGATGCGTCGCAGCCGCGGATTGCAATCCCGGTCGTGGAGGAGGTCGAGTACGAGTTCGACCAAGCCAAGTTCGAGGAGTACGTGTCCTCGTCCGGCTCTATCTCCCCCCGCAAGTCCAAGAAGTTCTCCTCCGGGAGAAAAGCTCGTTGGTTTGAAGCTGCTCGGGAAGCCCACGAAGCTCTCAACCCAACTGACGCCGAAGTTGCGTCAAATGAAGTTCCACCGACCTCCAATCAGGTCAACCCAACTCCCGCCAACGCCTCTACTGTTCAGGGCGTTGTGACTCTCTCAAAGAGAGCCCGCCAGAGGCGTCGTCAACGCCTTGCGCGGCAATTCGCTAAGGCGATGGAGTCTACGGACGGATTCCGCTACCACGCGGAGTTGAAGAACAGAAGAGGCAAACAGCCTCAACCACCAATGAATGGCGACTCTTCCAAGCCGCCAAAGAAAGAATGGGTCCGCGTCAAACGGAACCGTTCGACGCTCGAGGAGCGCATTCACAAGCGCCGCGCGATGTCAGCGCAGGCACGGGCTCAAGCTCAGGAAGCCCGTAGAAAGCTGCAAAAGGAGGTGGAGAAGAAGCCACCACCAACACGACAAGTCTGGAAGCCTAAGTCTGAAGTGGCGACTCAGGCCAAAAAGCAACCAGTGCAGCCTTCTAAGGAAGGTCAAACTCCGGCGAGTCAACCAAAGTCGCCGTCAATCCCAATAACTTCTCCGGGAGATCATGCAGAGTCATCCCGCAAGAAGAAACCAATTTTGGAGCGCCTCGGTCCAGTTCCTGACGCGCGAGACAAAGCTCCAATTCACGAGCGTTTGGGTCTGATGAAGAAGCCCAGAACGACTCAACATACTGGGGGTCGCCATCATCTCCATCATGACAAAGACCTCAAGGCAGCTGCGCGCACCAATTTGCGCATTGAAGTCCAAGATCACGCCGAAAATTCACGCCCAAAAAGGCATGTTTTGAGGCGGGTAACCTTTGAAAGCCCAAAGAAGGCAAGTCAACCTCAGATGGAAACATTATCATCTGATAATGATTGTGTTGTACCTGAGAAGGCGTGCCCGCACACGATAGGTTACTCTGACTGTCAAAATGACGAGTTGTACTATCGTGCTGGGGGTACGAATAGAACCAGGAAGAGGAGTCCCCGAGAACGGGAAATTCAATGTCCCTGTTCCAAACTCATTCGGGCGGTATTGTCGGAATGCAATTGCATTAAGGCGGTCCCCGAAAGAGTTTCAGTTTTTGAAAGACTCAATGCGGAAACGCCAAAACCAAGGCCTAGGCGCTTCCAACGAAGAAGAAGGGTGATTGAAGACGGAGAATTTCCGAGGGTCACCACCAACATGACGAGCAAAGGGACATCGGCACGAGAAGATTTCGAGTCGATTCTGAAAGCTTCCCGACCTAGAACCCGTCTGCAGTCCGGGACCATAGAGCGAGCAACTTATGGTAGGATTCGGACAAGACGTCCTTCAGAAGATGAAGAATCTGATGCCGGCTCCGCGGTGGCATCAGATAATACAGTATCCAGCGAGGGACAACCCCGCGAGGCCCTGATGATAAGTGCGGAGCAGATGGCCAAGATGCTTGAAGACGCTTTGGCTAAGCAGAAAGAAAGTTTCAAATTTGAGATGGAGATGGCCATGCAGCAGATGAGAGAAATGCATGACCAACAGATCCAAGCATTGGCGAACCAACAAGGCGAGCAGAATCATCGTAACCCGATTAATGTGGAAGATGAGGATACAAATGCTCGTAACACCAATGATCCTCCCGTCAACGCAGGGGGTGGTAATGAGAATGCTGGCGAAGAAACCGGCGAAAACCTGAAGATCAAGAACCTCGAGAGCAAAATCAACACACTAATTTCCGCTCAAGAGACGAAGAAAACAGGCATTCCTTGCCCATACCCAAGAGAATGGGAATCGATCCCATATCCGGCGAAGTTTAATCTAATTAACTTCACGCCGTTTAATGGGATGGGTTCACCTACCCAGCATTTGATTTACTTCAAATCGCATTTGGGGGTGATCTCTGGTAATGAGCCTCTGATGGTGCGGTCATTCGTCGGCACTCTTCGCGGAGCCGCCTTCGATTGGTATCGCCGCCTCAAGCCAGGCAGCGTAAACAGCTGGGATGACATGGAGACCAAGTTCCTGGCCAACTTCTTCGACGACGACACCGAGATATCTATCGGATCGTTGCTCGATGAGAAGCAGAAGGACGGAGAGTTAGTCGATACCTTCGTCAAAAGATTCCGGAACAAGGCGATGAATTGCCGGGACCCGATCACAGAGGAATTCATCCTCCAAACTTGCCACAACAACCTTGCGTTGGACGTGTTGGAAGCAATGGGAACAGCACCGTCTGACACTTGGAAGGATCTGAAGGCCCGAGGGGAGCAGGCTGAGCGATTCCTTAGAAGGAAGAAGGCCGAGAGGAACCAACCGACGGTTAATCCGCTGGACTCAAATTTCGCCTCTCGTGGTAAGGGCAAAACACCTGCAGCTACTGGTGGTGCTAATCAAGCGTCACAACAGCAATCCCGAAGGCAGCAAAAGACTTCGGGTCCGAGACTCCAAAGAGAGTATTCCTTCAAGGACGAAGACGTTCCAGCCATCTTCGAATCCCTCCTTGAAGGTAACAAGATCAAGCTACCACCTATCACAAATCAGGAGGAAGCTGACAACACTACGGACCCAAAGTACTGTGCATACCACAGGAGGGTCGTTCATCCCACCAAGGATTGCTTTGCTCTCAAGAATAGCATTCAGACCTTGGTTGAAGCCGGCGTCATAACGCTAAGGTAAGCCAATTGAGAACGGCAAAACTCCAAAGAGTATACGAGTATAAACTGTTTCTCAATCCTCCGACCGGTATAAGAGGTTAAACTACTCCCTGATACTCCAATAGGTATATGAGTCTAAACTGTTTCCCCACTTTTGACGGGAAGTTCCTGGAGAATATTAAGCTAATATTCTTAAGGATAACCCGGTTAGTTAACTGATAATAATGTCCGAACCAGTTCCGCAGAGGAAACTGGGGGTGGACGATTTATGTAACGGGAAGTTCCCAAAACCACAGCAATGTAATGAATAAGAACTCCCATTCTCACCATGTCTATGCACTCAACACTCTCTCTGTTAGAGTCTGGACGTAAAGTACCCACTTGGTCAAACCTTCTTACAGTTAGGACCACAGTCAAAATCCCCTCTCGATTCCCCCAATGAACGAGAGGTCCACAAATTGAGCGATCAAACCTTCCTACAGTTAGGATTGTCTCAAAACACCCACTTGGTCAAACCTTCTTACAGTTAGGACCACAGTCAAAATCCCCTCTCGATTCCCCCAATGAACGAGAGGTCCACAAATTGAGCGATCAAACCTTCCTACAGTTAGGATTGTCTCAAAACACCCACTTGGTCAAACCTTCTTACAGTTAGGACCACAGTCAAAATCCCCTCTCGATTCCCCCAATGAACGAGAGGTCCACAAATTGAGCGATCAAACCTTCCTACAGTTAGGATTGTCTCAAAACACCCACTTGGTCAAACCTTCTTACAGTTAGGACCACAGTCAAAATCCCCTCTCGATTCCCCCAATGAACGAGAGGTCCACAAATTGAGCGATCAAACCTTCCTACAGTTAGGATTGTCTCAAAACACCCACTTGGTCAAACCTTCTTACAGTTAGGACCACAGTCAAAATCCCCTCTCGATTCCCCCAATGAACGAGAGGTCCACAAATTGAGCGATCAAACCTTCCTACAGTTAGGATTGTCTCAAAACACCCACTTGGTCAAACCTTCTTACAGTTAGGACCACAGTCAAAATCCCCTCTCGATTCCCCCAATGAACGAGAGGTCCACAAATTGAGCGATCAAACCTTCCTACAGTTAGGATTGTCTCAAAACACCCACTTGGTCAAACCTTCTTACAGTTAGGACCACAGTCAAAATCCCCTCTCGATTCCCCCAATGAACGAGAGGTCCACAAATTGAGCGATCAAACCTTCCTACAGTTAGGATTGTCTCAAAACACCCACTTGGTCAAACCTTCTTACAGTTAGGACCACAGTCAAAATCCCCTCTCGATTCCCCCAATGAACGAGAGGTCCACAAATTGAGCGATCAAACCTTCCTACAGTTAGGATTGTCTCAAAACACCCACTTGGTCAAACCTTCTTACAGTTAGGACCACAGTCAAAATCCCCTCTCGATTC